AAACCGATTTAATTTCTTTCTTTCTTGGCGCTGATATTTCATCAAACCGTTATCATAAGTAGACAAAGAAACTGTTCTTTAACTGTACTATATGTATATTTAATCGACGATCTATTTTTATCGATGTCACAACATTGAATTTCATTCACTATCATTCTATTATTAGTATTATTTATTTGAGAAACGAATCTGTTTACAATCTCGTGATATTATGCTAAAATTAATCGATATATTACACGTGCCGTACAATGAAATCGATTCAATCCACAGATTCCAGAGATTATATATATAAAACGATCGTTCATCGACACGCTAAATAAGTCATTTCTCGTCGTTGCGTAATATAATCTTTGTCGTCAAGAACGAATATTGCACTCTTTCTTCGATCGACAGATTTCGAGACCCGGATAAAAATTCCACGATGATTCATCGATTCGAGCTAATCGGGCGTTGAATCGAATTATCCATTTGTTGCATATATTGTATCGTTCATTATCTAACGCAGTGGTTCTCAACCTAACGCGTAACACGTAGTTAAAAAATTGCGGTATCGTTGCAGTTGTGGTATCACGTTTCGAGGAATTGAATTAAAAAAGAAGAAGAAGAAGAAAAGAAAAGAAACAAAGTCGTTATATCTTTACCTCTGAGAAAGTATTTTACAATACGATGCATTTGTGCCGTCATTTGAAAATCTGTCGACAGTGTAATCTTTTCCTGCATTATAATCAAAATAGAAGATGCAATCTGTCGTCATCAGTTTCTTTACCATCTTTTCTTCCGCATTTCCTTTTTTCTTTTGTATTTAGTTACCATAACGATTCGATTATAACGATGAAATTCGTTTCAAGTTTAAAGGATATGATTCTTTTATAAATTTTTAATACAAGTGTTAAAAATTCCATTATTTCGTGTATCTATTCTTATTCGAATTATCGGTTGAAATAAGACGAAACAAAATGCCGATGTTCGTCGAGTTTGGAAAGTTTGGAAAGTGGAAGTGCATCATCGTTTATGGCCGAGTGATATACGAAACGATTGCATTTTCGAACCGATCGAAGATAAAGAACATTCCACTTTTTTTTTTCTTTTCCTCTTTTCTTCTTCAATTCGTGAAATCACGTGATCAACGCCTCGTAAAATAATCGAATAATTGTTATATGTTCTGCGTCCCGTATTACTCTACGTGGCACGTAGAAAGCGCATAAATATGTATGTTAATTCTGTTTACAAAACTATTAAAGCCCCAGGCTCACTCGGCAAAAGTAGGATTCTTTTAAAAAAAGTCCGCTTTTTTCCCTCCCATTGATATAGGCCACGAAGAATGTAAAAGAAAAAGAAAAAGAAAAAGAAAACATCGAGTTGTAAACTTGCAAATACCACCTGCTGCTGCTACTACCTCGAGAAACAAAATATCTCTGCTCGTTTATATAAGTAAGTACGATCTACACTGCACGAATAGACAAAAGAGAATCGCATGACGTATCAGTCCGACGTTTCAAGGAGACGACAACTCTTTCCGATTAATTCCTCTCCACCGTCGACGTAATCTGCTCAATCTGCGGTGGCCAACGCGCGTTCTTATCATCGTCACGCTACACAATTCTCGATATCAAAGGAAAGAAAAAAAAAAAAAAAAAAAAGGAAGAACGCGGTCTACCGAGAAATTTGTTAATCGAAAAGTTCTATAATCTCGTTCACATCACAGAAGTGTATTTTTATACAGCATGGAGATATACCAATTTTTTTAAACTTTTTAAACTTTTTTCTTTTTTTTTGGAAAAATAATAAAAGGATAAAAATCGTGACGTCTCTTTTATATATATCTAATAAAGAATGTATAGTTCATCTATACACAAAAGGATGATGCGTGTTATTAATACGACCACGCATGCCACGCGAATACTTTTGTTGTCGTTCCTCGAATATTAATACGATATCAAAAATAAACTAACTAGTGTAGCGATAAAAAAAAAAGTAACTATTTTTCTATTTTTAAATTCATTCGTCGCGATAGAGTGTACGTATTTAACTCGTAATAAATATGAATAAAAAAAAAAGGTGTTCTTCAAATAAATTCACGATTTATTTTAACAATTTATTTACGATTAAACTATTATTACCACTCCATAATAGCGTGGCGATAAGTCAAAAACTAACCACAGTTATCTAATCCACCAACAACGTCTCGCTCGCTTTATTGTGCCTTTCCTTATTTATTTCTCCATTACGAATGAGCTTTTCCACTTCTTCCCCCCGAACAACTACTAGGGAGGAAGGGAGAAGGAAGGCTAGGGACTTTCGCGCGGCAGTTGCGCAAGCTGCGAAACAATTAGATGCAAATCCCGGCAATGGACTTTCTAAATTCACGTATGAATTAGTCCGAGAGCCCCGATTAAACCGCACACTGCGAGCAACAGCACCATGCTTGGATATTTACCCACCCTCTCTCTCTGTCTTAATCTCTTTGTTCGCGAGATACGCAATAATACGCGAGAACGAATATAGAAAATAATTATATCCGAAGGAAACAGGTCTGAAAAGATGGAAAGTGATAATTAATTTATTTACATTTTATAATAACAGAAGACGAGGAGATCCTAGATATCCCCGATTTTATCAGTTTTCTACGATCAATTTGAAAATTACTTCCTTTCGTACTTCCTCGTGGAATAATTAGAAATTGTGTGTGTGTGTGTGTGTATATATATATATATATATATATATAATTAAGTTATTATTATTA